ATAGGGAGATGGCAATGAAATTTTCAATGAGCAAATATTTGCCAGTATCCCCCAGGTGCCAGACTCTGTTCTAGGTACTGAAGCCAGTGGTGAAAATGAAAGCACACAGTTCCTTACATGGAGCTGAGATTCTCTTTCTGAAAAGCAAGATCATAAACAAGTCAACGAGTCAATGGAGGTAGTCTCCAGGAGCAAGTGGGCTCCGGGACAGCAGATGGTACTGTGACGATCTGAGACTGACAGGGCAAAATGCCTCCCAGTGCAGCTCTGACAGGCAACGTTCTCAGGCGGGGAGAAGAGTGAATGCCAAAGCTGTAAGTAGGACTAAGCCTGGTCCATACAAGGCTGGAGGGGACTAAATGAAGACAAGAGGGCTGAGGGCTAAAGACGAAGTCAGAGACAACTGGAAGGGCTTTGCATGTGGTAGAACCTTCAAGGCCTCACTTGTGTGAGAAAACACAAATTAGAAGTTGCTAAAACCTGGAATATCAAAATATCAAGGAAAGCAAGCTGAGGATGGGGTACTTGGGGAAGCTCAGGGTTTACTTGCCAGGGAACCTGTAGGGCCGCTCGCTTTAAGGAGCATAAAGCGCACTCCACGTCAGAAATCATCTGAGATAGCTACTCCAGCTGAATTAAGCGGGGACAAAGAGAACCTCCTCGAAGACGCGGGATTCTAGCCGAAGACTTTTAAGCCTGAAGTAGTATATCAAGTGATATCAATTATATAATGGCTATGGAAAAAACAAAAAAAGATTGCAAACCTGTTGAAGTTTAGGGAATTCCAGAGACATAACCGGAAGATTCCGAGTAAGGAGCCAAAGGAGAGGTAAGGCTATAAACTGCTGAAAGGGTGCCTGTTACAAATTTGATACCCTGTGCTTATAAAAAGGATCAGAAGGTAAGTTCCTAGAGAAAGCCGACATTCACTTCAGTACCAGTGTGCCAAGAATTCAGGGACAGGAAATAAAATGGAAAGGAAGATTTAAAAACTTAAACAGTTACCTTTAATTAAATTTAAATTTTATTATTTATTTATTTATTTATTTATTTATTTATTGAGAGAGAGAGAGACAGAGAGAGAGAGAGAGTGTGTGTGAGCAGGGGAAAGGGGCAGTGGGGCAGAGAGAGAGACAGGGAGATATAGAATCTGAAGCAGGCTCAAGGCTCTGAGCTGTCAGTGCAGAGCCCGACAAGGGGCTCGAACCCACCAACTGTGAGATCATACATGACCTGAGCCACTTAGGTGCCCCTAAGCATGTGGGTTTTAAGGCTACCTGAGTTCATTATCCTGATTCCTCAGCCTAGTTAATATGTTTACTTTGAGCAACTGATTCCTGAGCCTCAGTTTCCTTATGAAGAAGACAGGGATTGTAATTGTACTTAATATCTAAAATCATAAAAACTGAATGAGATTATGCATATTATTTCATATTATAGTTACTGCTTCCTCCAGGTTGAGTTATTCCTATCTCATTTGGAAAATTGTTATTTTTTAAATTTTGTGGGAATGCAGCCAGAGCTAGAAAATTCTAACGTGCTTGGTAGACCTCTGGAGGTTTGAAAGCATGGGCCGATGGAGATTTCTGTGAGGGACTGGAGAAACGGGCGTCAGTTCTAGCAGAGGATGTCAGTCTGCTGTTGTCACACTGGAACCCAGACTCCAGTGGACCCAGACTGTCCATTTAGGCAGGCACCTAAATGGGACCCCTTTCAAAGGCCCAAGAAGCAAACAAGAAACGTACTTGGGGAATATTTGGAAACGTCAAATTTTCAGTGGCAACAAAGAAAGAGCCAATTTCTTGGCACTCCAGGGGTCGTTTTATTTTTTTTTTTTTCTTTTCCCGAATTACTGGCATGGTATGATTTGGGTCGTGCTGCTATTCTGATTCCGTGATGTAACATACCAGGTGTGCTCACTGGTGACAGACGACCGAAGCTAGTTTTACAAGACAACTAGAACAGGGAAGTCTTCCCAGTCTTGTGTGGCATTGCAACAAATTGATGACTGTGCTGTCCTGATTCACTCTGACTTTTTTGCATGTGTTCGGGGGCAGGGGTGGGGGTTGGGGAGACATCAAAGAGGCATTCATAACATGCTTGAGGTTCTAACCTTCCATCACCTGGTCTCGGCTGCTACCATAGGAGCCACACCAGTAATGACCATCCGAGCATGTAGGAGAGACTTCTCTGCCCTTTGCTCTCTCCTCCCTGGCCAGAGCTAGAAAAACCTTTACATTTGTCAGATGGGTGCCTTAAAAAAATATCACTGTGCATCTCCCACATGCCCGAAGCGGCATCCAGCCGTCATATACACCATCCTATTCTCTTAAGAGCCCATTTTACACAGGAGGCGTTGAGGTCACAGGATTTTCAGGGCTTTGCCTGAGATAGCTGCTGTCAAGTGTCAAGGGTATCTAAGCCTTCTCCCTCTGGATCCTTCGCCCACTTACTACAGAAACAAGGAAACCAAGAGGAGTGAAAAATTGCGGGGAATCTTATTCGAATTCATAACTCCTTTTACATCTGAGAAAATTTTAGACTCAAAATTAAATGATTTGCTTCAGGCACAGAGCCAGTTAGAAGCCTGTCGGGGAAGAGAACCAGATCTCTTCACTTTTAGAAGGCTCATATCTCAAAATCCCGCAAGGCACAGGGAGGACCTGAGATCCATGCTAGACAGCTGTCTGTTGGGGTGACCATGCCAGCTCATTGCTGGGGCAGTACATTTACATCTGCCTTTGGTTCAGCAGAGGGAGGGACCCTCTGGACCCTTAATGTCCAGCTTCAAGGCAACCAGAAAATTCATTGAAGAGCCATTTTATCCCATAGAGCCAGAGCTTAAAACTAAAGAGAAAGAGAAAGAAAAAAATAATCTGTCAACGCTGGGCTAACGGTAAGCACAGAAATCATGTGGTTAAGAAAACAATTTAAGATTGTTAGAAGAGCATATAGATATGTTTAAGAAATGTAAGGTTGTATTTATCTTGCATTCTTTAAATATATAGGACAGTTTTGAAGGGTTCCCCTACAATCAATTCTCCCTTTTCATAATGAGGAGAATAGATAGTATTTAACAAAATGACTATTTTTAAGTAGATGAAGCTTTGAGGAACAAAATTCTCATCTTGCATCTTGACTATAGCTAGAAATATATTTTAATACAATACAGTGAAAAAGTTCATGAATATTTATCACAGAGACATTTACATGGAATTCTCATAAAAGAATCACACAACAGCCAAGAACCATAAATGAACTGATTTTCTAGGAGGAAATTATTCACTGATACTAGTGAATTCATATCTATACAGTCTATAGTCTTTGACATCTGTGAGAGAAAATATTGGTGAGCAGCGTGATTGACAGGAGCTATGAGGTAAAAGAATCAAAAATAAAACAACAAGTTTCTAACATATACTTTTAAATAATACATTCACAAAATCTTCCAGAATAAAAATGCCGGATAAGATGATAGAGTGCTAGGTAAATGAAGAAAAAATAAGTTTCAGATCCAAGCTCTCCCGAAGATACCTATAAACATCAAGAAAAAAATGGCTGGTAGAAAGATCTTATTGGATTATATGGAGTTTAGAAAACCTTATACAGCGATAAAAAGCACAGGATAAAGATATATGAGTAATGTGTCCTTATCAAGCAATAATGAAAGCACAGTTTAGATTATTACAACAATATCTACTCTTTGGTAATATTGATACATATCTTAATACGTGTACCTTTAAAGATAGTGCAGTGTATAGTGAAGCAGCTATTTTCTTAAATGATTAATCTATCACAGCTTTTAACAGACAGAAGACTCTCACTGAGCTGTACACACAAGTCTGCCACACAACTTTCTGTTCATGAGAGTGATTCTATCTTTGGCCATTTCACAGCAATTTTGCAAATTGAACTGTAACTTAAAATACCATTATTAAGGTAATTTTACACGAGCTGTGTTTTGGTTTAATTAGGATTCTAGCTGAAAACAAGTATATCCAAAGTTAACAAACCACCGTTGGCTTATCCTCCTCCCTCATCAGATTGTATCAATAGAAAATAATCTGGTTGTCTGATGGAAAGAGAAATTCAGACACGTGGTTAACACAACCTCAACTATTTTGGTCGGGGAAAAAAACCCAGCATCTTCTTATAGCTTACGTCATATTTAAAAGTCTTTAAAATAAATAAATATTTTAAGTATCTACAATCTGGCCGAGGGGAAACGGGGTGGGGGGGGGCGGGAGTAAACAAATGCGTTTTCGTTCCTTACAGTTCTGTCTTTAGCGAAAACGACAGCGTAGGGCAGATTAATTTTCCTTTTCTCCCACACCAGACCCTAACCTTGACCTAGGGCTGCATGTTGGAAAATGCCTGGTGGTTTGGTAGAAGGGAGGGTAAACCAGCATTTCTGGAAACCCTAGATCAGTCCAAAGAAGAGCTAAAAAATCTCTCCAAGTGCCTTCACCAAGGGCTCGGTGGTGTCCTGTACCAGGGTAAGAAACCACATTCTAGCCTTTCTGGCAAGTCGAAAGGCACAAGATGCAGCCATAGACACAAAGATCATTGCTCAGAATCACCACGGGTGAAGAGAGCAGTTTAGAAAAGTCTCGCTAGCAACAAGCACGCTCTGCGAGGAGATCTAACAGTTGTATCAATATGGCCCTGGAGAGGGTTTTTGAACTTCATGGTTAACAAAGCGCCGCTTTTCCCTCGTCGCGTCCCAGCTCTGCCAGCCTGGGAACAGGCATCCGTGGCCTGGAGAGTCCGGGGGGGAACCCCCCCCCCCCCCCACCAAAAGTTGGGCTGGTGACCAAAGTGACACCCTCCTGGACAGTGATTCCACAGAGGGTGCCCGAGGAACTAGATGGAGAGGGACTGAGGAAAGGTCGAAAGAGGAACGGTGCAAAATCCAAGGTAACCGTCCCCAATCGCAAACAGGAATCCTCAAAGCCGGCGGAAGCGCTGTGCACCCCAGCCCAGCCTGGCCGCGCCCTTACCTGCACCCGCACAACGGCCGAGTCCCGGCAGCCAGAGAGCCCTGGCCGGGCTTCAGCAACAGGTTCCACCTCTCCCGGGGCTGCAGCTCGGCCCCGGCTCCCGCCACCTGCCGCTGTCCCCGCCGCTCCAACCCTGCTTGTCGCTGCCCGCCGGCTGGGCGCCCCGGGCTCTGCGCTCAGCTCGCTGCCTCCTCGTCCCCTTCAGCTGAAACGTCACTCTCCAGGGGGCACCTGCCGGCTGCTGGGATTAAGGAGAAGCTATTCTCATCCCGCCTAGGGCAACGTGGATACTTTCTGTGAAATTGAGAATCCGTGTGCAGCAAAGGAAAGAAAGCAGCCCTCTGGTTTTGCGTGGTTAGTTGCCTCTCCACACCTTGGGCGAGTGATTTAGCCTCTCTGTGCCTCAGCTGCCTCTTTGGTAAAATAGAGATAGAGGTTATGGTGATAATAACTGGGGAATCTGAGAATTGAGTGGGCATGTATGTGCAAAATGCCTGGACATATTAAACATTCCATAAACGTTAGCTATTGTTTTAAGGTTCTCATCACATCCGTGAGTCCTTGCAAAGGCCTTTTAGGTTGCAAGAAAACCTCTCTGGAATTCTGGAAATGCGAATTCACATCATAATTAGAAGGGGCAAGGAGAGAGCCAGGGGTGAATGCTCAGTGATTGTGACAAGAAAATCTGCTCAGCTGGAAGTTGCTAATGGATCATGCCTAAAACTTAATGTATTAACTTAGAGGTTTATAGAATTACTGAGAAAGGAACATTTAAAGGTACTTTAAGATAGTAACACAGGCAGGGTCAAGTGTGGGTAAAGCCTTTGCATACGCTTGCTATCAGGTCTGATCCTCACAAGGGTGGGCTTATTAAGCAATGGGTGGTATATAATGACTCCCCAGTCCACACAGAGGCTCCAAGGTTCAGTGGCTTGTCCAAAGCCACTGAGGCAGTTTTCAAATGACAAAGCAGGACTTCAGAAGCTGAATTCAGTTCTCTATTAAATCTTTCTTCCTGAATCCCTGGTAAATGTGGGATACAAAAACTGCTTGAAGAGACCTTTTAAAATAGGATCCCTAGGCCTTGAATTAAGGTTGTTGATTCAGATATGCATGTGTTTAAACCTGCTTTATGGCTATGTTGAAGATGCAGAAAGACGTATCTCTCCTAAGACTTCACCAAGTTCAAGGTAGAGACACCACTCCCACCTCTGTGAGGTTTATCCGGATACCCTATGCATAGAAAGTCATAGAAAAAAGAAAGACATTAAACAGATAACTAATAGGAGGCAAGACTTAGAAAATAAATTACGTCAGGGAAATAAAGCTAAAAAGAGGAAGGCATTCTGTAATTAATCTGAGATTCTCAAATTGAAGTGGAAAAAAAAATGTAGACCACCATCCCATTCAATCTCTCTTCCTACTGGAAAAAAAGATCATCAAAATGATAGGAATAATGGCAATGTTTTTGATGAGACAGTGAGGTAATGTCTAGCTTGTGAGAATTTTATTACAAATGAAAAGAAATACAAAACTTGTCATGCAATAGTCATTAAATTGTGAGACACTTGCTGTACCATATAAAATGACACAGTGTGACCTGCTGTCCTGATTCTCTACCCCACACCCCCAAACCCTACTGGAAATGTTAGACCATGTCCATAGCAGGAGAAAATTATATAAAACCAGAGAAGGACCTGAGATGCCCTTTCTCTTCTCTACTTCCCCTTGAATACCCACACACGCTGCTTTAACCTCTACCCTTTCATTTATCCTGCTTCACCTCACCTGGTTCAAATAGAAAAGCTTGTCTTTCCCACTAGCTAACGCTCACCTATACAACTGTAAGCTTTGCTCGCCACCCTCTCCCCCATTTCTGCACTCTCACACTATCTCTCTTGTATATCTCCCTGTCAAATGAGTTATTCCCACTTTTTTTAGGTTTATTTATTTATTTATTTATTTAGAGAGAGAGAATGAGCAGATACAAGGTAGGGGAGGGGCAGAGAGCAAGGGAGAGAGGCAAGGGAGAGAGACAGAGACAGAGACAGAGACAGAGAGAGAGAGAGAGAGAGAGAGAGAGAGAGAATCCCAAGCTGCCAGCGCAGAGCCCAATGCGGGGCTAGAACTCATGAACTGTGAGATCATGACCTGAGCCGAGATCTAGAGTCTGACGCTTAACCAGCTCGATCCATCCCATTTAATAAAAAGCTCCTGCAAGGCCTCAAGTACACACACCCACATCAGTCCCTCCAGGCACGGCCATACTGTAAACTGCAGTCCAATTGTACTGTTGGCATTTTCTCACTTCTTGCTCACTTATCGACCTGCTCCGATCAAGCTTCTGGTGATCTCATTCTAAATGTCTCATCTTTGCAACAGCCTAGCAAAGATCACCGATATCCTCCATGTTGATAAATACATTGGATTTTTTTTCTGCCAGTATTTTTACTTGGCTTTTAAGGGCTTGACCTCTTTGGAAACAGTGTCTTATCTTGGCATCTTTCATAATTCTTCTCTATTCTGTTGTTGTTTATTTACCCTGCATATGTAGCTAATGACTTTTCCCTCTCTTACAGGCTTCTTGTTTCCAACACAGCCATTTAATAAATGCACCAACTTAAAGCTCAGTGCTAGGTTCGTTTCTCTTCTTACTCTGAATTAAACTTCTAGGCATTCATATCCACACCAGTGCCCTCAATTACCACATATATGCAGGATACCCAAACATTTGTACCTGTAGGCCTCTCCTCAGAGTTCCAGACTCTTACTTGACATCTCCAATTGCTGTTTCAATGTCAACTCTAATTCAACATGTCTAATTAGATTCATCGTCTTCTTCCTAAAACATTGTTTCCCTGCTCAGTTAATAGCACTTCCATCCATCCTTTTCTCTGCTGACTTAAATATGGTGCAACCCAAGACACGACCTTGCATAATGGGACAGAAACCACACGCTGAGGATGGCAGAGAAGCAGAATAAAAGGAGCCTGAGTCCTTGACTGCTCTGGAAAACTCCTTTTCCAGTTTTTACTGGCTTATCTCTGACTTCTTTTACATGTGAGAGAAATGAAAGTTCATCTTTAAAAGAAAGACATACATCTTTATGTGCCATTATTTATTACTTAGTATAATCCTCACTTAGTATAATCTTTAGTATAAGTTTAAAATCAGTATAACTTGGGGCGCCTGGGTGGCTCAGTCCGTTAAGCATCTAACTTCGTTTCAGATCATGATCTCACAGTTTGTGAGTTCAAGCCCCTCATCGGGCTCTGTGCTGACAGCTCAGAGCCTGGAGCCTGCTTCGGATTCTGTGTCTCCCTCTCTCTGTCCCTCTCCCACTTGCACTCTGTCTCTCTCTCTCTCAAAAATAAATAAAACGTTAAAAAAAACATTTAAAAAGTTCAGTATAACTTGATGTAAGTAGAAAGTGCATATTAATATACAGTACAAAATAAGAATTTTAAAATAGTTTGTCTACATGGTATTTAAAATGATGTGTACCCTACTTTGGAAATATTGCTTTACACAGTATGATAATAAACTGATATGTTGTGGTGCAGAAGGAAGGATCAGACATGCTAACCATATGGTAGCTTTGGGAGAGTAGATCAGAGAAGGCACAGCAGGAAGGAGAAAGAGAACCAGAAAGAAAGGAGCAGAAATGAACCAAGTGACTAGTGGGGGGGTAAGAGGAGGGAAAGAGGGTGGGAAAAGAACATAACCATAACTGTAGTCGTTTCTGATCCAGTATTTTCTGATTTAGTTGTTTTGACCTCGTGGTTTTTTGGCAGGCAAAAAACAGATTGATTAAAAATAACGTTTGCACTGAAGATAACCAAGGCTTATGTTGTATTACGAAAAACCTAAAGACAAAGGACATAGGTAAAAATTCGCACCATTATTATTGTAAAGAAGAAACAGATATTGCTAATAATCAGAACAATGCATATTAAGGCAATAGTCAAGCTCCATTTTCCCATTAAATATAATAATATGAGCTTGTCAGGTTGATATGAAGGTATCATAATTAACATAATCCTTTTATAAGGCAGTTTGATAATATATATAAAAGCCAACAAAAAATGTTCCTAGACTCTGACTTCATAAACTAATTCCTGCAAATATATCCATCAGAAGTAATTCAAAGGAAATAAATGCTACAAGCAGAAAATTATTTGTAATAACTTAAAGTTGAAAAACCATAGGCAATCTGGCATACAAACTCAATGATATTTATAGGACTGTGACAACTTCAGAGAGAAAAAATTAGAAAATATTAAGTGAAATAAATTAAGCATGATATTTTAGGTAAATTAGGATCTCATGTGTACAAAAATACGAATTCTTATGTATAATATCTGAGTGAGCGTCTGAATGATAAAACAGTGTACATGTCATGGTGGTATGATTGTAGAGTGAATATATTTTTTCCAGAATTTTTATTAACTATACTATAATAATGTTTGTAAAATTAAAAAGAAAATGTTATTTAGTTGGATAAAAACACCAGAATGGAAAATCAGGAGTCCTAGAACCTGATTCCATTTTTTCATTTTAGTGCTTCATGAATTTCAGCTTTTCTATATAGTATAAAGATACTCAACCAGTGTTTTTCAAGTTATAAAGGGCCTATGATTCTAATTCTCAGTTAAAATCTAGTTACCGAGTTATTCTAGTCATCCCAGCCATGCAAACGGTCTACCTTGCTTTCCAAATTAGTATATTTCCTTGTCTCTCCAGAAAGAAGTCTATTTCATTCACTTAACATTTGTTGACGCTCTACTTGGGTAAAATCATGTGCTAATACTTTGGATGGGCAAGGGGAAAATGAATAGGACTTAAATACATAAAACTCTGCTCCTAAACTCAGGAAACTTCCATTTTTGCTTGTTATGGAGTGGCAAGACACAGGTTAGCATGTGATTAGGAAAGAGGTTTGGAGTCAAAGAAGAAAGGTTATCACATGTGGAAGCATCAAGAGCTCAGCGTCAAAGAATAAATTCCATTCAGACATGGAAAGATGGGGATAGGGTAGATTAGGCAGGTGACGCAAAGGAAACAGCAAGAGCAAAGTTAAGGAGCTAGGGAACTCTGAGGGATGTGTAGAAACAGTTCCTTGCTTGATTATATGAGAGAAGCATAGGCTGTAGGAGAGGAGAGAGAATGTTAGACTCTTTAGGACCAGGGCCAGCCTATTCTGTAACACTGTCTGCACAGCTGCTCACTGAAGTGATAGGAGGGGCTGTTTCAGTTGCTTGTCATGAACCCTAAAAGGTGCTCCATGGGAGGGACAGAGCTGCCATTATGGAGTGAGGTAATCAAATAGAGGAGTCCAAAGCCTTGTTCCTCTCCTCATTCCCCACAAATTGTGTGTGAAATGAAGAACCAAAACAAAACAAAACAAAAACAAACAAACAAAAAAAACCCCACATATTCTCCACTGAAATTATTCAAAGTGCCTAGAGAGTCTGGGTCTGGATCTGCATAAGAAGTCTCTGTGCACAGGA